CAGGTCAAGGCTGCGGTGGCTGGGAGCGGCCACTGCACTACAGTCTGGGCGACCGAGTGAGACTCCAACTCAAAAAAAAAAAAAAAAATATATATATATATATATATATATATATATATTAACTGTTTAATTACTTACAACTCCAAACACGTGAAATTTCTACTTACATTTTTGTTATCAAGGATTTAATTGCTTTGTGATCAGAGAACATACACTGTGTTATTTCAATCACTTGAAAACTGTTGAGATTTGTTTCATGGTTCACCATATGGTCCCTTTTTAAATAAGTTCCTTGTGTCCTTGTAAAGATTGTGAATTTTGCAACTGTTGGGTGCAATGTCTTATTTATATGCATTTTTTCAAGTTAGTTGTGTTATTTAAATCCTCTATATCTTTACTGATGTTTTTTCTGATTATTCTAACGATTAGAGATTTGTGTGTTAAAGTCTCCCATTATGGTTGTAAATCTGTGCATTTCTTCTTATAGTTCTCTCAATTTTGCTTTGTATATTTCAAGCACTTGTTTACTAGATACATGAAGGTTTAGAATGGTTACATTCTTTTGGTAATTTAGACCTTCTATATTTGTCACTAGAACTGTTTTTTCCTTTTACGTTTATTTTTTCTTCTTATAACATACTGTTTGGGTTATCTATTGTGGTACAACAAATTACCCCAAAACTTAGTGGCTTAAAACAATAATGACATCTTTTCCCTCAAAGATCTATAGCTTGGGTAGGACTCAGTGGGAACAATTCATCTCTGTTGCATTGGCATCAGCTGTGATGGTCCAAAGCTAAGGGTTGAATGCTCTGAAAGTTTTTTTACTTATATGGTGGTTGAATCTGGTTGTGGGCTAGAGTCTTAGCTGACATTGTTGGCCAGAACACCAGCACATGGCCCCTTTTTGGTTCCAAGGGTGTACATTCCTAGAGAGAGAGTCAAGTAGAAGCTGTATTGCCTCTCATGACCTAGCCTCTAAAGTCATGCAGCAACACCTTTACTACATTCTATTCATAACACAGTCACAAAGGTCAGAGAAATAGACTCTATTTTAATTTTACTTTTTTGAATCAGGGTCTCACCCTGTCACCCAGGCTGGAGTGCAGTGGCACCACCACCACCACCGCCACGACTGCCTTGACCACCTGGGTCCAGGCGATCCTTCAACCTCATCCTTCCAAGTAACGGGGACTACAGGAACAGGCCACCACAGCCAAGCTAATTTTTTTATTTATTGTAGAGATGAGGTCTCACCATGTTTCCCAGGCTGGTCTTGAACTCCTGGGCTTAGGTAACTCTTTTGCCTTGGCCTCCCAAAGTGCTTAGATTACAGGCATGAGTTACAGTGCCTGGCCCCCAGCTACCTTTTTGATGTTTTGTAGAGACAAGGTCTCACTGTGTTACCCAGGCTAGTCTCAAAGTCCTAGGCTCAAACAATCCTCCCACCTCAGCCTCCCAAAGTGCTAGGGTTATGGGCATGAGCCACCATACCTGGCAGAATGTAAAAATTCTGGAAGAACATGTAGGGCCAGAAATATTGTTTTTGCCATTTTTGGAAATATAATCTTTTGCATATCATTATATACACTTTCTCTTGATCAATATTTCTGTGGTATGCTTTTTTCCATAATTTTACTTTCAAGCTATGTACTTATGTTTTACACCTATTTCATATAAATAGAATATATTTAAGTTTTACTTTTTTATTCAATCTAACAATCTTTGTCTTTTAATTGAAGCATGTAGTTTACTTATATTTAATGTAATTATTGATGTATTTGGGTTTCTCTCTATTATCTAACCATATGGTTTCTATTTGCACTGTATTTTTAGTATTCCTTTTTTATCTTTTCTTGCCTTCTTTTAGCCTTATGAGTTAATGAACTAATTTTTAATGAAGATATTCATATTTATCTTAGACAT